CTCCTGAAGGCGTTCCCGATCTCAAAATCTCTCTCTTGGCTTCTCTCTCCCTTGACCTCCTTCAAATCTCTTGCCTGCATCTCTCCTGGCTGGCTCGCCAAAATGAAATGGCAGGGAAATAGGTTTTGAGGAAAGGAGAGATAATTACCAAGAGACATCCTTTCTGGAGATCAGAAAAGAACGACTTTATTTCCAGCTGGCGACTCTGGTGTGGACTCATGTCCCAAAAGTAAAACCAGAGCCCCCATCAAGGTGCGGACTGGCCTTTTATAAGTTTCAGACTCAAGTAGACAAAGAACATACTACAACATATATCATCGTCATCCCTACGTCATCCTGGGCATCATAAGAATATCAGGTTCCAACCTCCAACATGCAAAAGGCATGTCTCTGCCTAGCTGAAGCCAGAGCAGGCATGGAAATGTTCCCCCTCCCTCTTGGCGGTGCTTACAGTCATTAATCAAGACCACTTTGAGATGTCAAGAGGCTTCTTACTTAGAGGGAAGACTTCTCGTACCAGCCTGTGTCTTATCTCTCTTCTGGAATGTTTAGATAGTATGCTGGACACAGCTTGCTTTTCAGCTAGGGTTTCTTACACACACACAGAGATTTTCCTATGCATTTCAGTGCTTGTAAGATACATATGATTTTATGCATAGATCAATCATTAAATATCTATATTTTCCCAATATCTCCTCATCAATTCACACTAGAAAAGGGAGGCTTTAACAAAGAGTTTGGGATTGATGTATGATCATGATTTATTATTGTTGTGTGAATCAAGTTGTTTCGGAATTATCATAACCTTAAGGGAATGAGGAACATTACTTCATCCACTGGTCCATCTAATTCAGTGGGTTTGGGGACAAAAAAACACAGATGTATATAGAATGGGCCCATCCATGGTTTCTATCCCCATTAATCTAAACTGAAGGATGCATCTACACCAGGCCTGGGCCTACAGGTGTTTTGGACTTCAACTCCCACAATTCCTAACAGCCTCCCAGCCAGCCTTCGAAGCTACAAGGCCATTAAATGCTAATCAAGGTGGCCAATTGCGGCATTCACACTTGTCTCAACCAGACAAGAGTTCTTTCTCCCACCCTGGACATTTCCAACAGAGTTCACAACCTCTGAGGATGGCTGCCATAGATGTGGAAGAAATGTCAGGAGAGAATGCTTCTGGAACATGACCATACAGCCTGGAAAACTCACCGCAACTGAATGGTAGACTTATCAGGCTCTTGTGGACATCAAGCCATAGATTGGTTGTTGTGAATTTTCTGGGTTGTGTGGCCATGTTCCAGAAGCATTCTCTCCTGACGTTTCATCTACATCTATGGCAGTCACCCTCAGAGGTTGTGAGGTCTGTTGGAAACTAGGAAAATTGGGTTTATATATCTGGGAAGGTGGGAAAAAGAACTCTTGTCTGTTGGGGGTAGGTGTGAATGTTGCAATTGGCCACGTTGATTAGCATTTAATGGCCAAGCAGTTTTATGGTCTGGCTTCTTACTGCCTGGGGAAAACCTTTGTTGAGAGGTGATTGGCTGTCCCTGATTGTTTCTTGTCTGGAATTCCCCTGTTTTTGAGCGTTGTTCTTTATTTACCATTATGATTTCAGAGTTATTTAATACTGGTAGCCAGATTTTGTTCATTATTGTGGTTTCTTCCCGATTGTTGATTGCTGGGCCTGATTGTTTTTTGTCTGAGAGAATGCTTCTGGAACATGGTCACAACAATGAAAGTCTTCAACAATACAAGCCTTACTACAGAATGAATCCACTTTAAAACTGGTTTCTGCCTCCTGCAGAATTCTGGGGTTTGTAGTTTAGGTGGTGCAATGGGTTAAACCCTTGTGCCGGCAGGACTCACAAGACCGACAGCTCAGCAGTTCGAATCCAGGGAGAGCGCGGATGAGCTCCCTCTATCTGCTCCAGCTCCCCTTTGCAGGGGCATGAGAGAAGCCTCCCACAAGGATGATAAAACATCAAAACATCCGGGTGACCCCTGAGTGATGTCCAATTCTCTCAAATCAGAAGCAACTTGCAGTTTCTCAAGTTGCTCCTGACACACACACACAAGTTTAGGGAGGAGCCTTTTACAGCCTCACTAAACTACAAACTCCAGAATTCTGCAGGAGGAAGAAAACAGATTATCTGGTGTGATGAGCCTATATATAGAATCATAGAATTGGAAGAGACCTCATGGGCCATCCAGTGCAACCCCCTGCCAACAAGCAGGAAAACTGCATCCAAAGCACCCCAACAGATGGCTATCCAGCCTCTGTTTAAAAGCTTCCAAAGAAGGAGTCTCCACCACACTCCTGGGCAGAGAGTTCCACTGGTGGACAACTCTCACAGTCGGGAAGTTCTTCCTAATGAATCTCCTTTCTTGTAGTTTGAATCCATTGTTCCATGTTCTAGTCTCCAGGGAAGCAGAAAACAAGCTTGCTCCCTCCTCCCTATGGCTTCCTCTCTCATATTTATAAATGGCTATCATATCTCCTCTCAGCCTTCTCTTCTTCAGGCTAAACATGCCCAGCTCCTTAAGCCACTCCTCATAGGGCTTGTTCTCCAGCCCCTTGATCATTTTAGTCACCCTCCTCTGGACTTGTCAACATCTCTCTTCAATTGTGGTGGCCAGAATTGGACACAATATTCCAGGTGTGTGGTTTAACCAAGGCAGACTGTTAGGCTTATTGACCCAGGCAATAGATACAGGCAGCCTTCCATATCCATGGATTCTGTATCCTCCTACCAGCCATGGCTTAGAGAGAGAGAGAGAGAGAGAGAGAGAATCCCTTATTAAAATTTTTTAAATATTAATAACATATTTTTAAAGCTCTCCTCTCCCTCCCTCCTCCAACTCCCTCCTTCCTTCTGCTGGTCTTGTTTCTGCATCTCTCTCAAGTCAAGATGCAAGCGCGCGCGCTCGCGCTCCCCTCCTCTCTGGGGCGCGCACGCTTGCATCCCGCCTCGAGAGAGAGAGAGAGAGAGAGAGAGAGAGAGGCTGTAAAGAAGAGTCAACGGGCGCGCCGGCCGTTTCTTCCCTGCCCGCCAGGGGGCGCCTTCGGGCGTGGCTGGGCTCCCCGAAGCCACAACGTCGCACTCGGAAACCCAGGAGGAGAGAGAGGCTGCGCGGTGCTTCCTCTCCATCCTCCACGCTGGAAGGGCTTCCAGGAGGACCTCTTCTGGCCTGAGCCGCTTCCATGCCACTCCTGCCCGTCCGCTCTGCTGAGTTTCTGTTGTTCCTGCTGTGGCTGCCCTCCGAAGTCCAGGGTGGGTAAGGATGGCGCCAAGGATGAGCCAAAGGCAAGGCAAGGACCATCCTCTTGGATGCATCCACACTGGAGAAGTCGCGCACTTCGACCACACTTGAACTGCCCATGGCTCAGTGTTAGGGCATCCTGGGAGGAGGAGGAGGAGGAGGAGCAGCCCTTCTCTGCCAAAAATAGTCAGTACCTCCTCAAACTGCAACTCCCATTGAGCCATGGTGGTGAAAGTGGTGTCAAACTGCATCATTCCGTGTAGACTAGCCATTGGGCCCTTCCTACAGGTGTTTTAGGCTTCAACTCAGAAGCTCTTGGTTCTCCATGTCAACTCAGTGTGTTGTAAGCCAAAAAATAACCCATCTAAGTTCTGCCTTTCACAGGTTCTAATAGTTCGACTCGGGAGCTTAGCATTACTGATATTATTTATTTATTTATTTGCGACATTGATATGCCGCCCTTTCACTAAAAGGATTTCATTCTATTTCCACAATGTCACTACAGATTCATAAAGTTGTGAAGCATTAACCATGGTAACTTCAGCTCATGTCATTTCTCTTTATTTATGCTTATGTCGTTTGTTTTCTATAATAGCTGGCATCTCAAGGTATGGGCACAGCTGGCGCACAAGTTTTCATTCTGCAAAGGTGCTCCTGGCCATTGCCAACACCTGGGGTTCCAGGGCCAGCTGAGTTGAGGACCACCCCCAGACTGCAAACCTGTGTCTTTAGCGGGAGTGTGGCCCCATCCAGCACAGGCTGCAATCCCACACTCTGATCCTCCTTCCAGGAGTACGTCTGTTTTGTCTGGATTTACCTTCAACTTATTAGCCCTCGTCCAGTCCATGTAGTAAGTACTACATGGAGTAAGTAGTACTACGGTCCATGTAGTAAGCACTATGTAAAATATACTGTAATAGTAGTACAGACAGTCTCCAAGTTACAAATAAAATAGCCCTCATCCAGTCCATGTAGTAAGTACTACATGGAGTAAGTAGTATTACAGTCCATGTAGTAAGCACTATGTAAAATATATTGTAATAGTACAGACAGTCTCCAAGTTACAAATAAAATAGCCCTCATCCAGTCCATGTAGTAAGTACTACATGGAGTAAGTAGTACTATAGTCCATGTAGTAAGTAGTAAGTACTACATAAAATATATTGTAATAGTAGTATGGGCAGTCTCCAAGTTAACAAAATAACCCTCATCCAGTCCATGTAGTACATGGACTACATGGAGTAATAGTACTACAGTCCATGTAGTAAGTAGTAAGTACTACATAAAACATATTGTAATAGTAGTATGGGCAGTCTCAAAGTTACAAACAAAATAGGTTCTGTAGGTTTGTTCTTAAGTTGAATTTGTTGGTAAGTTGGAACAGGTACATTTTTATGTGTAACTCCCTCCCCCTCTCTCTATGAGTTTAGACAGCACAGGGAAAGGTTAACATCCCCGTGGTGTTTGTCTTGCTCTTGCCCCTATTCAGAAAATTCCACCTCACTTCCTGTCCCTGTAATAATTGGGTTTTGAAAAAATCGGCTTGTTGTGGAAGCGAAGATTGAGAATACACCTTTTCCCCATGATAATTCTTCCAGGAGTGAATTTCCCTTCGAAGGAGTAAATTTCTTTTACTTAATATACTGAAAGACTTGATACGTTCAGCAGACTTTTCTGCTTCTAGCCATAATCCTTCACCTTTCCACAAAACTTCTGCCTCCCTTTATCTCCAGGTGATTGTCCCGCTCCAGCCAGGCAGCCCCATGCGACATTAAGGGATGGACCCGCGAAAGCCAGCTATCCTGTTGGAACAGTTCTGCGATATGATTGCATCCCAGGTTATCAATTCAAATCTGGAGTAAGACCTATTATACGTTGTCAGGCCAATTTTAAGTGGTCATCAGAATCGAGTCTTTGTGAAGGTGAGTATATTTATTCCATGATTCCAGCTGCCTTGGCTACCTTACAAGGAGAAAGGCAGTATATAAATAAAATCAAATAAATTTTGCAGGCAGCAGTGGTTTTTATGAAAGCTTGATTAAAACTTCTGAAAGATCCAAATATTTAAAATGCAGAGAATGAATATTTGGAGCACTGTCTTTCCTAGCATCAAATTCAAGGGATGGTTCTCTGATGTCTTCAGAACTACAAAAATACACGTATTTATGGATTAATAAAAAATAGGCTAATGAAAACTAGGCATGCTTAGTTGGTATTGAATGCTAGCTGTCATTCTTTACTGACAAAAATAAAAAAAAATCAGGTGTGGGGATAGTAGTTAATAATAATAATAATAATAATAATAATAATAATAATAAATTTTGTTACATGCCTCTCCTAACAGCTTGAGGTGGGGTACAGCAAAGTCAAATTATATGTACCTGAAATACACACCATTATAAAAACATACAACATGATATGGAGGATATGTCTGGATTGCCTGATACATATATATTAGGAGGTGAAAATATATTGAATATTTTAATTGCAGGTCCCAGCTGGCATTGATAAGACTTAATGGTTAAAAACTGATACGTCTGATCTATTTCTAACTTTCTAGAATTCTGTAGATCAGCTACTCCCATGAGATTTCACTTATTCAGCTCTGTGTTAAGCCTATTTGGGCTTCCCTGTTCTTGGCCAATGTCCAATAGCAAGCAACTTTTATTTGTTTATTCTTTTGACCATGGAGTCATATCCCCCCACCTGCTTCCCATCAGATAATGCTGGGAAAAAAGTACTGGCTCCTTTTCATAACGAAATGTGACTAAAATAATTTTAAAATGAATTTACTTATCTGTGTCTGAAGTATTCCTTCATCGTTTGCACTATGTGTACTAGTCCAAATGTGTATGACCAGAAACACTAAAACTGCCCCCTTTGGTACTCTGAGCAATTCTATCTGCAAAGTGCTGTGCAAATTCTTCACAGGGAGCTGTTAAATGGTCAGCATTTTGTTCTTGAGGATCAGTTTAAAAGTCCTTGGCCACTTGAAACAGTTCAGCTAGGTGGTTCTTTGCAGACCCAATGCTGGCAGCAACAAATGATTTATGTGCTGTCTTCATTGCCATGGAGTAGGCTTTGAAATATGCTCTAACCAGCGTTTGGTCAGATTCCTTTTGAGTGTTCCGCCAATATTCCTCAAGTCCCCCATCTCACTTGCTTCATCACCACCAGTTCCCAGTAAAACCAAAGGACTGGTTTGGCTCCACCTGTAAGAGGGGAAACTCGGAGCCAACTGTGTCCTCTGCCCTGGCCATTTCCCCATTCCAGAGGTCAGCCAGAGCTTTGACAGAATCGTCTGTTGAGGTGGCAGGAAAATCCCCAAGAGCCATCAGGAATCCATCTGGATTCTTTGGCCTCCTGGAAGGAACCATTCGAATCGGTCCTCCACACCTGCAGAGACATTGAGTCCCAGCAAGTCTAAACCTTTTCAGATACTGATTGGTCCATGACAGCAGAACTGGAGAGTTCCTCTATAGTACCAATACTATCATCCCATCCTGCACAGAAAACAAGGTCCAGAGTGTGCTCAGCAGTGTGAGTAGGACCATATAGCACTCAGGACAGACCCATGGTTGTCATGGAGGTCATGAGGTCCTGAATCACTCCTGAAAGGGAAGTCTCAGCATGGATGTTGAAGTGTCACAGCACTAGTAGCCAATTCCAAGTTCACCCCAGCTAGCTCAGGGAGGGAGACTGTTAAGCAGTGGGGTGGATGGTACACCAAGAGAATCCCTGTTTTGTCCTATCTACACTCCTTTGGGTATACACGCTCAAATGCTGTAGACGGTGGGACACAGAACCTAATCGGGATGGAACCTCAATAGACCACTGCAACTCCACTCCTCTGCCCTCAGGTCTTGTCTTCTGCTGCAGGTGGGCAGAGCTGAAAGATAATAACCTCCCCCACCCCAAAGTCTTATCCAAACAGGACTCTGTAATACAGGTCAGATCAGCATCAAGTTCTGGGTGGCAGTTGTTCTTTCATATGCATGTCACTTATAGTTGAATGTGATAGAAGTGTCAAGATCTGAAATAGACTACTTTCTCAGACATTGGTTAGTATGTTCACTCTGCTCTACAAATCAGGACACCATGAGATAATTGTTGTTCTAATTCTTCTAGGAAAAAAGTGCAGGCCTCCAACTATAAACAATGGCAGATTTGAAGGCGGTATCCAACTTGGCGATGAAATAACTTTTTACTGTGACTTTGGGTGAGTTACAGGTTATTTGTTTTAACAAATATGTCTAAAACTTCTATAAGGGGCTTGATAGCAATATATTAAAAGATTTATAGATGGTATTTACATCCAAGCCATTCATTGTTTGCATTTTTGCATATAGAAGAGGGCAGAAAAGAACCTCTGTTCATTTTTTGCAGTTTCTTCATCATTGTGTCTGTGAATCACATGTATTCTGCACCTGCAAAAAGCCTCTTCAAAACCTTCTAGGATCACTAGGCAGAAGATATTTCACAATAACCTTGTCCGTTCTCTTGAGTGCAAGTAAGGCACTGGTTGCCACCACCACCCTCAGTTCCTTTTCATTCTCACTGCAGCCTCTTCTAGGAACCTTGTGCTTTTCTTCAGCTGAGGCCTTTCTTTTTCTCTGGGTCTTATATTCATTGGTTTTTGTGAGATTTTCCCTGAGCTTTTGGCTAAACTCTTTTTTAAACTTATAATTCTTTTGGTGGTATTTTCTTCAGATCATCTACTTCTATGGTCGATAATCTCATTGTGAGGCCTGCAGTGGAAAAATGCCTGACACAGATCGACATTTTAAATGCCTTGTGTGCCTAGAGGAAGATCATATTGTGCAGTCCTGTGTTCCATAACAAGCATTTATACTCCAGCCACACAAAAAGTGGGAGGCTTGTCTACATGCCCTCTCATGTTAAAAAAAATTGTCTCCTCCATCACCTTTGATGGTGCAGCCATCTACGTTGAAATCAGTCTAAAGAGCTTCATAGGATTCAAAAGGGTCCCAATCTTTGAGTTCAGAGTCCTTGGTACTGACACAACCTATGCCTCATCTATGAAAGCATCTCTTAAGAGGTCCATGGAAGAAGTAACCTCTTCAAAATAGAACAAGCACAAAGAATCATCTGGACATAGGGAATGTGAGAAAATGGTGATCCCAGAGATGCAACCGTCTCAAGAAACTGGGAAAAAGAAGACCACAAAATCAAGCAGTTGTTCCCTTACCAGGGCAAGGCTTCAGCCTGCAATTGAACTTGAGCCTGAGGTGGTGGAAGTTTCTAAGCCATCAAGATCTGAACAACCACACGGAGATTGCTCACCTCCTCCTCTCTAAAAAGAGATGACAGAGACTGAAGGGCATTCTGTAGGAGAGATTGTGGACTCTCCACTCTCGAGGAGCAGCTTCCAACTCTGATTGAGACACCTTTTTGAGTTTTAGGTTCTACACTTCATCCTGGCTATAGATCCCCACGTTTACAAAGTGTATGGTGCTGGTAATCAGCTTACCTTCAAATCAGAGGTATCACATATCCATACCTTGATGACTGCTCAATTGTTGCTCCCTAGACATTGAAGCTCCTGGAGCACATAGAATCCATTCTGGGTCTCCTGGACAATCTTGGCATAATTCTGAACAAGGACAAATCTCATTTGATCCCAGTGTACCATGGGGATGTTGTTCGACTCCCTCAATGAGAGAGCCTTTCTTTCAAGGGACAGATTTACAAATCTCCAAGGCTCAGTGCTGTTCTGTCAGAAACACAAAAGAGTTTGTGCCAAAGACACTCAAATCCTGCCACGACACCTTGCCTCAACTACAGCAGTTATCCCTTTGGCATGACTTCACATGAGGCCTCAGCAGGTGCAGTTTCTTCAACATTTTGACTTCTTTGAGATTCTCATCTGAAATGACTTGTGATTTCTGACCAAATTCAAAGCTCGCTCACATGGTAGAAAAAAACCCAACAATGTCTGCATAAGGGTCCCATTCCATTCCCTAAAACCTTCAATTTCCATCACCACAGGTGCTTGTATGATGGTATGGGGGCTCACTGTGGAGGACTAACCGCTGATGATCGATGGTCTCAGTTAGAGGTCAAGCACTATAAAAAATTACTTGGAAGTGCTGACTGTGTTCAACGCACTAAAATCCTTTTAGAAACTCATGTGGGTGTGCACCAACAATACCATAACAACGTACTATATAAACAAACAAGGAAGCATGAAATTGAGAAGACTTCTACAGATGGCCATCCAGCCTGTTTAAAAGCCTCCAAGGAAGGAGCTTCCCCCAAACTCTGTGGAAGAGAGTCCCACTGTTCAGGAATGTTCAGGTGGAAACTCCTTTCCTGTAATTTTAACCCATAGCTCCAAGTTCCAGTCTTCAGGCCAGCAGAAACCATGCCTGCTCCCTCTTCCTTATGGCATCTTTTCACATATTTATACATGGCTATCATGTCTCCTCTCAACCTTCTCTTCTGGAGGCTAAACATACCCAGCTCTTTAAGACACTCCTCATAGGGCATCGTCTCCAGACCTTTGATCATTTTAGTTGCCCTCCTGTGGACATGTTCCTGCTTGTCAGTATCTCTCTTGAATTACAGTATTCCAGGTGGTGTTTAACCAAAGCAGCATAGAGAGACACTATTATTTTCCTGAATCTAGACACTATATTCCTTTTGATGCAGCCCGAAATCACATTGGCTTTTTTAGCTGCTTCAGCACATTGTTGGCTCATGTTCAACGTGTTGTCCACTAACACTTCTGACCCCCGCAAAACTAGCTAAAATGTATAAGGGAAGCAACAACAAGTGCTGGAAATGTAAAGAACAGGAATTTTCTTTCACATATGGTGGCCCTGTAAAAAAGCAAGAGAATTCTGGAACAAGGTACAAAAAACACTACAAAACATTTTTCAATCAAAGATACAATTGGAGCCCAAATTAGCAATGATGTACAAGTCAAAAACAATGTATTGCCGAAGGCTTTCATGGCCGGAATTACTGGGTTGTTGTAGGTTTTGCAGAGTGTATGGCCATGTCCTAGAAGCATTCTCTCCTGACTTTTTACCTGCATCTATGGCAGGTATCCTAAGAGGTTGTGAAGTCTTTTGGAAACACACAAAATAAGTTTTATCAAGGACTGGGAACCATTTCTAAACTTTCTAAAAAAGAAAGAAGGAACAGTTTTTATAGAAGGCTTCATAATTTAACCTGTTAGAATTGGTGTAGGGAATGTATAAATAATAAATATCAGGCCAGAAGGAAGAATAGAAAAACAATGTAATAGGAAAGAAGAACGGAATTATATATGAATGCCTCCAAAGTCATTAATTTGGATGGGTGGGAGGAGGGGTGAGTTTAACCAAATACTAATATTGTATAAAATTAGTTGTTAGGAAGTATTGTACTGGTTCATTCATATATACATGTATATAGATTTATTTCATTGTTTTTTTTACAAATATGTAAATTGAAAATAAAAAAACCTACTTATCTCAAAAGGACTTTTTATAGATACTGTTTCGCTCATCCATTTCCTATCTCCTGCTCTCTTTTTGAGCATAATGGCAATGGAAATTGAGCGTAGATGCACAACCTAGAGAAGAAGAACAAGATCTCAGCCATCTGCTGTTCCACCCAGAGCAGGCACAGATTGGAGGAAATGCCTTTTCCTTTTCCTCATCTACACTCTTTGGGCAAGCATGGCTGGCTAACTCTTAACAATTAAGAGCCCCCAAACCAAGAATAATAAATAATAATACAATAAAACTTTATTTGTACCCCGCTACCACCTCCCAAGGGACTTGGTGCAGCTTACATGAGGACAGGCTCACGGCACATCAGTAAAAACAATAACAACAATAATACATAACAATGAAATAAAACCCATAAACAGAAAATAGCACTAAACATTAACAGTAACACAGCAACGTTTAAAAGCCTATGTCTGGACCAAATGTAATAATTAAAATTATAAAATAATGCTGAGCATGACCAGGTTAAATATAACTAAGATCGAATTTTCGGAGAGGAATGAGTGAGAAAACATTCCTAGATCACTAATAAAGTGCATTGAGGGACATATTGCTGGGAGTTTCCTTATTCTGGGAAGGCACCCAGGGGTCCTCAAACTTTTTAGACAGAGGGCCTGGTCACAGTCCCTCAAACTGTTGGAGGGTCAGATTATAATTTGAAAAAACATGAATGAATTCCTATGCACACTGCACATATCTTTTTTGTAGTGCACAAAACACTTTAAAACAATACAATAATTAAAACTAAGAACAATGTTAACAAATATAAACTTATTAGTATTTCAGTGAGAAGTGTGGGCCTGCTTTTGGCTGATGAGATGGGATTGTTGTTGTTGTGTGCTTTCAAGTGGTTTCACCCTGAGCGAGGGCCGGGTAAATGACCTTGGAGGGCCTTAGTTTGAGGACACCTGGTTTAACCCATTGCGCCATCAGGAGTTCCTGTAATTATGTGAATTCATAGTTTATCTGCGCCTGAGTTAGTAACAACCATAAAACAGATGTTTTCTGTCATGGTGCCCTATAGAATATTTTTCTTGTTCTGGTACTCTGTTTATTCATCACCAAGCAAAGACGCTCTCACACTTTTATTGCTCAGATCTCTTTAAAAGATTTCCTGAACTGATTATAATTCTACTGTTTATAAATTCTTATTCCTTTGTTGTACTGAAGAGCTCTTGTTTTTATAATCTTTTATTTTTTTTTAGGAGGGGGCTGAGAATGAAAACATGTTAGAATATTAATGAGCTTGCAGAAAACTAAGCCCAATGAATTCATGATGTTATGTATTTGCATTCTGTTTTTTTTTTGTTTTTGTTTTTGTTTTTTTACCTCTTGCGCACTAAAATGTAAGATTATTCTCTCCTTAGGTTCAGATTACTGGGGGCCAAGACTTCTCTATGTGTTTTGACTTCAGGCAGAGACGTTGGCTGGCAGAGAAGTCCTCCGTACTGTGAAAGTAAGATCATCTGTTCATTTATGCTCATTAGTGTTTTCGTCAGAGGATTTCATTGTCATTTCCACATTGCCAGTATTTGATCTCCCCAGGCCTATGCCATTTTTCTTGGGAGGCTTACAATCCTTACTAAAATGGCAGCAGCAGATATGGCAGCAAATAATCTGCGAATAATCAAATAAAAATGAGGGTCTGATTGTAGATTTGAAACATTTTGTATAGTTTGGGGGCAAAAAAAAAACATGCTGTGATTTTTTAAATAGATTTGGGTCCACTGGCAGGAAGGGTGGAGAATGAAAATTGGCCCTTTTTTGCAGATACCTTCCTGTGCTCTAATTGCTTTGTCTACAGTTCTAATGTACCTGAACCACTGATAATGATTCTCTTCCACAGGAATCCCTTGTAGTCGCCCTCCCCAAATTGCCAATGGAGATCACAGTGGTGACATAAGTCTTGATCACTATGTGCAAGGCCAAGTGGTAACCTACACTTGTCACAAAGACTTTTCCCTTATTGGACATCCAAGTATTACCTGTAGTGTTGCAGCAGATGGCGTAAACGGAAAGTGGGATAGACCGCCACCGGAATGTAAAGGTGATGGGCATGCATGTTTTGATATCTTACATGACATCACTTTGATTGCACAAAACTACCGAAGTAAAAATATTGGCCATGGTGTTATTCACCAAACTGTTGTTTTTTTTTACGTGTCAGGAGCAACTTGAGAAACTTCAAGTTGCTTCTGGTGTGAGAAAATTGGCTGTCTGCATGTATGTTGCCCAGGTGACGCCCAGATGTTTAAATGTTTTTACCATCCTTGTGGGAGGCTTTTCTCATGTCCCCGCATGAGGAGCTGGAGCTGTTAGAGGGAGCTCATCCGCGCTCTCCCCGGATTCGAACCTGCAGCCTGTCAGTCTTCAGTCCTGCTGACACAGGGGTTTAACCCACTGCGCCACCGGGGGCTCCCAACTAAGCACGTGTCATGACTTTCAGTGTGTTTGCAAAAATTTCTGTTGAAGTGGTGTGAGGATATTACTGAAATGTGTTCCTTTTTCAAGTAGGTCATTTGGACTTTTGTGGCCATTGCAGCAGGAGTAATAATAATAATAATAATAATAATAATAATAATAATAATTCCATAGTTTTCCTTTCTGCACCACAGTTAAGATAAACATCATGTAACAGTTATCATCATACAACCATAGATGGAGTGGATCCATTTCATCTTGTGAGCCCTATATACAGTAGGCAGCATACAGAACTATTGCGGTATAGTGATTTGAATGTTGGAGCAGGTTTCCAAGAGATAGGCTCCAAATCCCCACGTAGTTGTAAACATTGGGTGAATGATCTTGGGCTAGTCTCATTTTCTCAATGTGTTTGAATAAATATTGCCCCAAAGCCCCTTGGATGGGGGCTTCTCAAGTGGGGTGAACATGAGTAATAGCAATATACAGGAGGAAATCCCAGTTTGGGTTAAAATAATTACACTGCAAAATAAGTTCACCATTCTCTGACTTTATGAAACACATAGAAAAGCAGCTGCAGTGGTAGTAACTTGTATATGTACATTGCAATACATGGTAGATTTTAAAACACACGGGATTGTGTTTAATTGTTTTCAGATTGAAGGTTCTAGGTACTTATCGGATACAAACACTTTCTTATTCCATGCATCTTCTCTTCCCTTTCCAGTGGTCAATTGCCCCAGACCAAGCATTGCAGACGGAAGGCTAACAAGTCCATTTCAGCCTACATACAAGTATAACCACGTTTTACAATTTGTGTGTCATGCTGGCCACACTCTGGTAGGAAGTCAGTTTGTCAAATGTGGTGCTGACAATCAGTGGCATCCTGAACTTCCAACTTGTGTCAAGGGTAGGTATCTTACTATACACACATACATTTCAGAACATTTGCGTTCTGAAATGTTCCATTTGGACTTCAAACTCCCTCTCTGTACAGGGCTAAAATGGGAGTGGAAAGCAAAAAAAAAAAAAAAAAAAGGAGGGGGGGGAGGAAAGATGCAGCCATATAGGTCCCATCTCTCCCACCCCCATTTTTACTCAGTCTTGCCAAACAACCTAATGCTTTCTAAGAAGCGGGGGGAGGGGGGGGCTGTTCTATGGCAAAGGGGACCTGGCTCCACCAAAACTGAAAGTGTTTGGAAGTCACAACTGAGGTGTTGGGTGTATCACAAATCTGAGAACCACTAAAAGAATTTGAAGTTGGGTACATGACATCCCTCTAATCCAAGGGTCCTCAAACTTTTTAAACAGAGGGCCATTTTACAATCCCTCAAACTGTTGGAGGGCCGGCTTTTAATTTGAAAAAAAAAAAAGAATGAATTCCTATGCACACTGCACATACCTTATTTGTAGTGCAAAAAAAAACCCACTTAAAAACAATACAATAATTAAAATGAAGAATTTTTAACAAATTTGTTGTTGTTGTTGTTGTTGTTTTTGTTGTGTGCTTTCAAGTCATTTCAGACTTAAGTTGACCCTGAGTGAGAGCCAAGTAAATAATCTTGGAGGGATGTATCTGGGCCCCGGGCCTTAGTTTGAGGACCCATGCTCTAATCAAATCACTTGCATTGTTTGTGTTCCTTTTTCTTTCTTTCTTTCTTTGGCTAGGTATATTTACAACTACAACTACCACCACTGCTGGAGGTGGTGGTGGTGGTGGCGGCGGCGGCGGCGGTGGTGGTGGCGGCGGCGGCGGCGGTGGTGGAGGAGGAGATATTGGTGAGTTAAGAAAGAAGAAACCAGGCTTGTATATTGTGCTGGGTGTTATATTTGTTACTTTAAATGGTTTATGTTTTTACATGATTTTAACATTTTTATACTTTAATTATTCTTTAACTTCTTTATACTCTGAATTTTGTATTTTTATAAAATCGTCATAAGGCATTTTGAGTCTGGAAAAAGCAGGATGTAAATAAATATAATGATGATTCCACTTTGAAATAAACACAGTGGTATTCTGTAGCCACATCTTCATTCTGTACCTTCGCATCAAAAAAATAATAAGTGACCAAAAACTTGACAAAATGCCAGTAATTAGTGCGTTTTATGGAAATGGTTTTCTTCAGGCTTTTAAAATGTTATGTTTTAATTACTATTAGCCCCTAATTTTTGAGTGGTGTCCTAAATGCTTATTTGTTAAGTTATAATTTTAATAGTTATGTGTTGCCTAATTATTACCACTATTTTATGTTCTTGTTTAATATATTTTATTTGATTTATGTTATTGTTTTTTGGTTGCGCTTTACAGCATTGAAAGGTTGCCGCTATTTGTTGTGAATTGCCCTGTTTCCCCAAGGGTAGATAGGGAGAGAAATAAATAAAGTTGTTATTATTATTATTATTATTCTCCAAATTAACCAAGTAAAGATCTGAATGGTAATGATTCAATGTGAAGAAAAATAATTCTGTTGGCCCTTCATTGCCCCCAGCAATTAATGTATTTCAAGGAACCTTGTATCTTGGAATGCATTACTGAATTTTGCTGAATTTTGTCTTATTTTATTAGATTGGTTGTAAGGTATATTTCACAGATAAACCATTTTCCACAGCATCCTGATGAATTAAGTTAAGATTGCCTTGATTTAAACTGATGTTTTGCCAGTAGGTATTTTTAGGGACAGCCAAATACATTAGTTGCACTTTGTAGTAAGGCAGTCTCCATGCATAAATGGAATAGTCATGTCATATATATAGATGGTTTAACTTTCCAAAGACCATGTCTTAAAAGAAACCAGTCTGGGTGAACCTCTCAAGAATGGCAGCTTATACATATGGACTTCTGTGATTCCTGAATGTTGAAAGAGGCCATTAATAAATGAGCAGCCAAGACCTGTAAGTACCTGTCTCTTGTTACACAGGGCCAACTCTAGGGCCAACTGTAAGACCAACTTCTGGGACCACAGAAGAAATCATTACCAATGAAGCTGGTAAACAATTGCTTTTACTTTTAATGGTGTTCTGTTTGCTTGTTACCAGATTATTTTGCTACCCTGAGCAAAATTCACAGTGGATTGTGTTGTCTCTGTGTTGTGATTCGTAGTGTATTGTATGTGAACAGATAGTAGCAGTAGTAATAGAGGTCAATTTTATTTGTTACCCACCTCTCCTCAAAGCTTGAGTTAAAATACATACACTAAACATGAGACCATTAAAACACATGTATTAAAAACACAGAACTAAGATTAAAACACATTAAAATCATTCATAGTGATAAAATCTAAGTTTAAATTCAAAGATCAATTTGACTGAGTGAATGTACTTTATTCAAAACTAGACAAGTGGCATCTGTTCAAGCATGAACTGCACTTAATGGCAGCAATGTGCAATTTTGGGCAAAGTCTTTCCTTTACCCGGTATCCTATATGTTTTAACTGGAGGATATTACGATGGGTATTCTCCTCATTGTGTGAGGTTATTGTGGAGAGATGTTGCTAGGTCAAAGCTACATGGCAGGGCAGAAGTGGCTGAACCGTTGGATATGCAATGTGGTTTTGCTCTTTATATCTGTCCTCCTAAAATAACAACTCCTGTTCAAAGTTCTGACCAGAATTGCGCTCTTCTTTTCCTTCATGTTTCTGTTTTCGTCTTTATCAACTAAAGTTTCAGTGTTGGTGTAGGTCTTCATATCTTGTCCTATACAGGGCTGTGTTTTGGGCAATTTATCCTCAATTTGTCCAAAATGATTTTGGTGATTTGGCAGACCTTAGCATTTTCTTGTGATTGTCGACACCTCCCTCTTGTTCTTTTCTTCCTGTGTTTTTTCATGTCAGGAGTGACTTGAGAAACTACAAGTCACTTGTGGTGTGAGAGAGCTGGCCGTCTGCAAGGATGTTGCCCAGGGGGTGCCCAGATGTTTTACCATGGGAGGCTTCTCTCATGTATCCACATGAGAATCTGAAGCTGACAGACGGGAGCTCACCCAGCTCCCCGGATTCAAACCACTGAACTTTGGTCAGCAGCCCTGCCAGCACAAGGGTTTAACCCATTGCGTCACGAGGGCTCCTTTTTCTATCTGAAATCCAGTTGGACTCAACCGTCTGAGTTTACTGTTAACGTAAAGGTAAAGGTTTTCCCCTGACATTTGGTGTCAAAGTTTTATTTTGATTCTGCATACATTAGCCCTATCAGATCTGGTACAGTTTGCAATAAGTGCTGGGGATGCAAATTTGTCCCCTAGGCCTGCCAAATATGTACCCGAAGCCCTTCTTTAATCCTGTTGCTTACTTCTCCTTTTTTATTTTTAGTTTGTTTTAAAATGGCTTTGCCACACCATGTATTGCAAAGATTGGCCTTTGGCTTGCTTTCCATTTTTGTTTTCTTTCTCTAGAAACCCCAAGTCTCTATGTGAGAAAGCAACATGGCCAGGCAAATAGAGACTAAAGTTTTGATTTCTAGCATGTCCAACCAAAATGCCTTTCTAAAAATTACTAGATTTTAAAATTATGATTACCAGGAAAAATGAGAGGGAAGAAGAGAGAGAGAAAGAGAGAGAGAGAAGGAAAAATAGAAAGAAATATATATATATATACAATGTAAATCAAGGGTAAACATGTACATTGATATATCCTGACCTTGTCTCCAAAATAGAATACAGTGATACCTTGCACTAAAAGTTTAATTCATTCTTTGACCAAGCTCTTAACTAAAAATGCTCTTACCTCAAAGCAAATTTCCCATTGAAATACAATTAATTGGTTCCGCCCCTGAACTCCCCCCCCCCCCATTTTTATTATGTGTTTTAAAATATGAAAATGTACTTTATAAATAACAAACAATGTATAAAACGTACATTCACATGGAGCAATAAAAAAGAAAGATCAACTTTAAAATGGTAGAAGTACAAAGTTGTGGTACAATGGTAGAAGCACAAAGTTGTGGCAAGGAAGCACAAAGTAATGAGGCAAAAGCATCAATTTTCTTCATACTGTATTCATTCCAGCCTCCCTCCCTCTCTTGCTCTTTCTTTCTCCCTCTCTTCATGAAACTAAACATACCAGGATTAAAAACTATACAAAATCAACTAACCCAAAGTTTCTCAAAGCAGACAGCAATCTCCCAAAACTGACAAGAGCACGCATCACGGAGTCTGTTCCCTTGAAGCCCTAAAGCCCTGTACACTTGTGCTAGTGCTTCCTCTGGCATTAGCGCTTAACTCAAAACATAGCTCTTATGTCAAAGCAAAACCCAGGTGAGCCATGGGTCTTAACTCAAAATGCTCTTAAGGTGGGATGCTTAAGGGCAGGGGATAAGTAGAGGTTCCACTGGGTAGAAACCTTTTGGTTATTCCCAACTAGATTAATCCCATTGAATCAGTTCTTAAATGGTAAGTCAGTATGTAAATAAATCTAATGGAATCAATGTCTCTACTTTAGTGAAATCTAGCAAAGGGGTTTAAGATTTATTATGGTGACCTCAATAGGTATCAGGAGTAATGCTTACTACATTACCCTAGCCAGTATAGCAGCTACTGAGTTTTAGAATAAATGTGTGAGGAAAGGAACAGGAGGCATTTAATGGAGTGGGAGAGCAGTGGGAACCAAGAGAAGCGAAATTTCTGAGCACAGAACATGTAGTAGCAGGGAGTGATGTAGGGCGACTTGTTTTTACCTGCTGTAATTTTTGATGTCTCTGTGTTTTTTTTCTGTGCAGTTTTTCTTGTGGTGTGTCCATCTTGATTGTAGCATTGTGTTGTCTTTTGGTGGGGTTTTTTTGGTGGGAGGAGATATTTACAGTGCAAGTGCAATCATTTTGTTGAGTTTTGAGGGGCAAAGGTATGGTTTGCCATGTGGATCTTGATCTCACCTGAGCCTTTATGCGTTGGGCACATTACCTCTTTTGAGTAACAAACAGGCTACCCACTGCCAACCTTCAATGACAGAACCCATAAAATTCCTTATTTTGAGTCACAAGCAGACAACAATGGTCCATCTATGATGATGGAACCCATGGCATTTTCTCAAATTTCAAATTGAATTCAAGGACCCAAGCATTGTTACAGTGCATGTCTATTATCCAATATCTCTTAACTGTTATGATAAATGAAATGAAGATTCATGGGCAGTGGTTGGAGGTTATGGGGCCATAGAGGGCCATCCAGTGGACCTTGGTAGGCTGTATCCTAATGGACCCAAATGGTGGGGCTGATATAAAAGATCTTGGCACTCGCTTAGGTTTTGTCCACCTCTGCATAACTTACACATTCTTTTTCTCTGCATAGGGGGTCTCTCTTTATTTGGTGATTCCCCCTCCCCCTGTTTTGCTTTTTAAAACTTGTGCTGTTTGTCATTAACCCCAAAACTCCCTTTTTCATATAGGATCTACACAGAGTCCAGGTGGAACAGTTCCTAGTGATGAATCAGGTAAAGCTAAATGATGGTGGTAGCAAACCAGCCATCTTTTTTGGACTTCTAATAGGCAACACAGGAGCCCCTGGTGGCGCAGTGGGTTAAACCACTGAGCAACTGAACTTGTTGACTGAAAGGTCACCAGTTCAAATCCGGGGAGCAGGATGAGTTCCTGCTGTTAGACCCAGCTTCTGCCAACCTAGCAGTTTGAAAACATGCAAATGTGAGTAGATCAATAGGTACTGCTCCAGTGGGAAGGTAACGGCACTTCATGCAGCCATGCCAGCCGCATGACCTTGGAGGTGTCTCGGATTTTCGACTTAGAAATGGAGATGAGCACCAACCCTCAGAGTCGAACATGACCAGACTTAATGTTAAGGGAAAACCTCTACCTTTACTAATAGGCAATATAGTGGGGATGTTGCTAGGGTTAGTTGATTTTGTTGTTCCCATTATTTGTCTTGAAACTGTGTCCCTTGAAGTTCACTTTCCATGCAATATTGGGTAAATAATTATGGATGACCTCTGGTTAATGCACCGAAATCTCAATGCAGTTCTAGAGTTCAGCTTAGCTTTTTTTTAAATTAATGTTTTTCAGCAACACATTTTAGGCTGCTATTCTGTTCCCACTTACTCAGAGTAAGTCCCACTGAACTAAATGGGACTTGCTACCAAGTAGAGGCCTGAAGTGTTGGCATTTTCTCCAGCCCAGTGGTGAATGTAGACATGGTGTTGGCAGTTTATTTAGGACTCTAAAGAATGTCTAAGCATGCTTGTCTCTTGAATTAATTATTCCCCTTGCGCAAACAATTCACTTATGCCTTCACTTATTGCCTTCGGAGAAGTGCAATGACAATTGGCATGGCCTTGGATTATGATTGTGGATGGTGTGGTTTTAATAACTGATGTAATATTTTAACTGTTTTGATGTGT